ATTTATGCTACAACTAAGGGGGGGGGCAAAAATTTATGCTACGTTCGAGTCTACAGGTATATATATATATATATGTATGGAGGGAGGAGAGACAGAGAGAGAGACGAGGGAGAGAGAATTCGCTTGATCTCCTCGCGCAGGAGATCCCATACTACTCCTGCAGTGGCAACTGAGGTGCAATCTTGCAAACCCTAAATAAGCCCTAAACCCTCAACCTTAAACTTGGCCCTAAATCTGTTGAGTTCAAGACGTGCCCTTCTATACGTTCGCAAAAGGACTGGGCCACAATCCTAAGCCCTCTTTTGTCAAAGCGTAGCTGTACCCTTTGCTATTATGACAATCGTGGTTCTGACCAGGAGGTTGGGAATATTGAGTCCACTGCCGGGGGTTTAGTAAGAGAACCAAGACTCTTCCTTGCTTTCGTATGTGGAGTAGTGCAGGCCAGTACTCGTAGAAAAAAGCAGCAATCAGGCCAACATGGACAACGCTGGCATTCAGACGATGGAACAACGAAGCAAAACTAAACTAAGCGGTTCCTTGCAATCAAAGAGCTGCCTCAAAAGTCAGGGCATGGGGAGCCTTCATCTACTGTTTCCCGTCATTGGACTTTGCCCCAAAGTCTTTGAAGCCAGCGGTGCAGGATGTGTTGATTCCAGGTCCGAACTCAGTCGAAATGCCCCTCACAAGCACTGAGTCTTAAGGCTGCTTTGCAGCCATCGAGGTCACAAGTTTTGAAAGGGCTTCGAGGTGGCTTGGCTGAGACCTGTAGCGAGTTTAAGGCAGTCTCCAACGTCCTCTGTCCCCCGAAGCAGATCTACCCGAAACTCGAAGCCCTTAATTCTAAACCCCTGTGCGGTTTCTCGGTCAGGCGATGTGCCTCTGAGCTGCCACCGGTGCGAGCCTGATCATGGCAGCCATGCCACACCAAGCAGCACCGATCCAAGTGCTGAGACGCCCTAAACCCTAAGCCCTCAATCCTTCCAAAGTCGTAGACCATAGCCAAATGGAACTCCATTTGCCTGCCACCCCAATCTTTTGGGCGCTAGGACGGGGCTGTTCATGATTGTGCTCGCCGTGTGCCCATGCGCACCGAATATTGGCCTGCAGGTTCCGCCCTCTTTGTGTCTTTGCGCTCGCGTAGCCTGGTGTCATTAGGTGAGTTTGGGGCAAGAAGCATTGTCTAATCTCTATAGGGACCGGGAAAACTAGTAGGAGTATTGCTCATAGGACTGTAACCCTAGTCCAACTGTCAAGGTCTCTTTCCATTGCGGGTTTAAGGGTCTTTAGTGGGAGAAATTCAGTATCCTACACATGGGAAGCCGTAAAGCCAGCGCTTTGGTCGGCTGACCTGCCCCCTGGACCCTCGACCCGAACCCTATAAGGGTTTAGGGTTTAAGGGTTTGGGGTTTAGCAAGCTGCAGATGGGTTTGGAGTTCACGGTGCCCGGGTTGTCAGGCCTGAGAATGTTACAGCTTCGCGCTTAATCCCCAGCTATAGGGTTCAGGGTTGGGAGACTCGCTGTGCCGCGGGCCCCTGTTCTCACGTTGTCAGGTTAAGTTTCGAAGCTACAAGGGACAGCTGCAGCCCTTTCGTAGCAGGCGCTGCGTAAGTGCTGCAGTTTGCATGCCCATGGAGCATAGCAGGAAAGAAAGGGCGTGAAAGAGAGGACGTAGTGACCTGTGTTGCTGAGATGCATGAATGATTATCTATCTGACGCTGTTGCTTGAGAAAAGATGCGGTTTCCAACCCTTATGCAAGCCCGAAGGCCGATCCGGATGCTTGGCTCAGGTCTTCCACTCCAGCTGCCCCATAGCGCTACTCCCCCGACCCGGAGCAGGAAGCACAAAGCATTTAAGCCCTCAGCAGTACGCCTGAAAGACTAAGCTCTGAGCATCAAACCCTAAACGCAAATCCTAGAAACCCCTAACATCCAAGCCACCCTTGACAAACAACTCTTAGCTTCAATCCTACCTGCAGGAGCAAGATGGAGCAAGCAGATAGCCGGAAGCAGCACAAGTGCTGCTGAAGTAAGCCGGTTGAGGCTGTTGTAGACCCTACTCACAACAGGAAAGCGAGACTTATTTAATTATTAGTCCAAGCATCCTTGATAGCGGGCATTTAACTGATTAGGGACGAAGGCTCAACAATTGCGGTTTTCGAGCTTGAACTACAACAGGTAGACCATTTTGGGTACCGCAGTTCACAGTCATGACAGCTACTTGTCGCTGTGGTAGTAGTGGTTGTGCAAGCAGTAGTGGTTGTGGCGGTGGCGGCGGTAGTAATAGTAGCAGTGGTGGTGGTAGTGGTGGTGGTGGTGGTAGTAGGAGTAGTCGTCGTAGTGGTGGTAGTAGCAGTTGTTGTTGTAGTAGTCGTCGTCGTCGTCGTCGTCGTCGTCGTCGTAGTCGTAGTCGTAGCAGTCGTCGTCGTCGTAGTAGTAGTAGTAGTAGTAGTAGCAGCTGAGATGAAACTAGTGTTGAGTCATTGTAATCCCAATGTCATACCAGATAAAGTCGAGTACTTGTGATCTTTGAAACTTTGTAAGTCCTAGTCCCTCCTGCTACCATCACCACCGCCCTCACTATTCTATAACTACTTCTACTACCTCGACAACTGCTTCTATTGCTTCTAGTGCTTCTGCTACTTCTACTAGTTCTATTTCTAGTGTCGCAGCTGCTACTGTTCATGCTCCTCGTCCTCTCCTACACATTCTTCAGATTCTGACACGAGTCAAGCTACCTCAGGCTCCGGACCAACCAGAAAGTCGCCCAGGCTCGCACCTCGCCCGACGGCAAGTGTCTGATGTTTTTATAAGTAACGCAGATGCTCTATTCTCCGAGTCGTCAAAAGCTGCACTTGCATGTACGCGAAAGGGGGTTGCACGTTGTCTTCTTTTCAGCATTGCCGCTGCTCAGCTTGCAGCTTTCTCTGCTAAGGCCATCGTGCGGCATTGCCGATGCTCAGAGTTCTAAGACCTGTAGCCATCGTCTAATGGGTTTTAGTCTCTTAAGCTGGAAGAGAGCATCAGAAGCCCCAAGAACAGGCCAACTCTCAGCCTCTCAGCTTGTGCTGGTCAGATTGTCGAACCGTCAGTCGTAGCCATCGTCCCTTGGCTAGAGGCAGGCGACAGAAGGCTTAGACATCCCTTGGCAGGCGACACATAGGAACAGCAGTCCTAATTGGATGCGTTTTGCCAGGCAGCAAGAGGCTTGGCGACGCTTGCTCCGTGGGCACCATTCGATCGGCCGAGCTCTCATCCTCAGATGACAGAAATCAAGCGACAGTAAGAGATAGAGAGATTTGCTTGCATATCAATGAATGAGTGTCCTCGCTCTTGATGGCCGGAGATGTCGGTGCGGTAGCCCTGCCCAACTCCTGGTTCATCTTGGGTGAAATCCCTAAACCCCAGACCCTGCCCCTTCAAGAAATCAGGTCTCGCCGTCCTCCTTGAGGGATCCGAGCTCCTGCTTGGCATCTGTCAGCTGGGTGCTGAGCTTCTGGATCTCCACCTGCAAAGCACGAAGAGTTTCTAGCATTTTCGTCGTTTCGGGGTTAACATCATGCATCATTATCCTGGCGGCCTTCTGCTGCACGTTTTCTTGCACCAGGAACTCGTTGGTCAAGTGCAGGTCCTTGGATTTCTCCTGGCATGTAGTTGCTTCCATGTTTGCTTGTCGATTCGTGCCGCGCGGGCGCCTCCACCTCCTTCCAGATCCTCCTCTCCGCGGTCATCTTCTTCTGCAAGCTGAGCAGCTCTGCCTGTCATGCTGGGGCGGGAGTGTTTTAATCTGGCTGGGGATTCGAGTAGGTTGTGCGGCCTCTTTGAGGAGTCGAGAGGCTTTCTCCGACGCCAGCATCTGCTCCAGCGATGCCCCAGAAGCCCTTGCAGCTCCAAGCTGGTCCTTGGGCCCAGTTGTCGAATTGTCGGTTCAGGAATGAAATGACAGAGGCAGCACCGTCCTCCAGGGAGTCGCTCCGCTTCCTGATGTCGGTCTGCTCCTGTCGTGTGTCGACTTGAATGAACGGGCGAATGACAATGAAGCTGCCTAAGGGCCGTCCTGGAGGGAGTTTTGGAGCAGCTGCTTGTCCTTCTGAAGATCTTCGTTCTGGGTGCGCAACACGTCGCCCACGCGCCGCTGCATCTGATAGGCAGGCTCAGACGCAGCACTTGTTTGATCGAAGCATGATGGTCCCAGCCTCCACCTCCATGTCTTGTTTCAAGACCTTGGCCTCCAGGATGGCCAAGGTCTTTCGCGCCTCGCCAAGCTCCTCCTGCCGGGTCACCGCGTCAGAGAAACAATTCACTTCCGACCCCACCGACCCCCCGCCTGGAGAGAGTCTCTCTCCTTCTCGCGGAGAGTCCCCATCACGAGCGCCGACGCATGGAGGGCCTGCAGATGCATGCTTGTTTTCAATGAATCACTGATTCATGTGGGCCTGGCCTCCACCTGGCCGATGATTCGATCCTTGTCCGCGAGCTTCCGAACAAATTTGCCAGTCACAGCGTTGCGAACGATGGATCCGGACTGGGCCCTCTTCCTTTTGTTGTCGGCTTTCTTCTCAGCTTTTGTCTTCCTCTTATTCCACCTGCTAGAAGACTGCGCCGCCGCTGCTTCCGGGTGCTCCGTCTCCGTCGCCGTGGCTGCTGAGAAAGGGTGGTCCCAGGTGGTCTCATTGGCGAGGATGTTCCAGTAGTACTTGACTCCATTCGAGTCAGTCATCTCTCGCCAGTGCGCGGGAAGACCTCCAGAGCCAGCACTACCGCTGGCCGGCGTGGCTGCCACTCCACTGCCACCTTTGCCACCAGTGCCGCTGCGGCCACCCGCTCCACTGCGGCCACCACGGCCACCACGGCCACGGTCGCCACTGCGACCTCGGCCACCGCCACCGCTTGTGGCACTGGTCCCTTCCCCATCTCTGGCACCCGACCTTTCCCAGTCGTTCCAGCTCTGCCAGCCATCGCCCCAGTTCGAGCGGTTCCATGTCCAGGCCATTCTCCCAGGAGGTTGTCTACTAGTGCAAGCCTATGGATGTGTGTACTCAGACAAGTCTAGAACCTAATATAGGCTTCGGGAATGCTGCGCCCATGAGCTTTGATTTGTGTCAGAAAGAGCACTCCCTAGTCTTCTGTAACTTCCGCACAATAAGTAGGTCAACACTGCACCACAATAATTAG